CTTTTTTTTTCATTTATAAAGCCATTATTATCTAAAATGTTTTAGCTTTCAGATGGTTAAAGTCATTTTTTTTTCCATTTAAAAAGCCATATTTTTTTTTAATTAAAAAGCCATTATTACTTAAAATGTTTTATCTTTTAGCTGGTTAAAGTCATTTTTTTTTCATTTATAAAGCCATTATTATCTAAAATGTTTTAGCTTTCAGCTGGTTAAAGTCACTTTTTTGTGGCTTACCCTTTAGCTTTCAGCTGGTTCAAGTCATTTTATGTGGCTTATTCTGAGTTTTTCAGCTTTCACATATGAAAAAACCAACTGAAAGCTGAAGCTGTTTAGACCCAACATCTCCCACTGCAAGCAACCCACGGAGGTTTTGAGGTATCTTAAAACACCTTTTGAAACAATCTTGGTGCTCTGTTTTCAAAATGAAGGCTGAAACCTTATTAAAAAAAAAAAAGAATTATATTATTATATTATTATTATATTTTTAGCCTTCATTTTGAAAACAAAACACTGTCATGTTCTTTTTAAAAAAATAAATAAATCAAAATTTAAATTGCAATTACGAAGCATTTGAAGCAGCTGTAGGAAAAAAAATATTCCTTGGGTGTCTCCATTTCTAATCACAACAGCTTGCTGGCCGAGGAGATCCACACTAATTAATTTGTGTTTTATTTATCCTTCTCACTCCTCTGTTTTTGAAGGGAAGGGGGAGGGGGCAGGTTTTGACTCCTGATTTGAGGATTTAGGGAGTGTCCCGGGCTTTGCTTTTGCAGTGAGGGACATCAGCACGCTGAGCATGGTGTCCAAGAGCCTCGGGCAGCAGCTGATTCATTACATCTCCACCTCGGCAGGGACCCGCCGGCTCCTCCTGCAGGATTTCCACAACCTGGAGCTCCCCGGCAGGAGAGAGGGAGCCTCCATCCTGGAGCACTACAAATCTCTAGGTGAGGGCAGAGCCCGCTGGAAAAAACCTCCCTCTGCTTTAATTAGAATCACAGAATCCTAGAATCGGTTGGGTTGGAAAAGACCTCCGAGATCATCGAGTCCAACCCTTGGTCCAAATCCAGTCCATTTACTGGATCATGGCACTCAGTGCCACTTCCAATCTGAGTTTAAAAATCTCCAGGGATGGTGAATCCACCCCCTCTCTGGGCAGCCCATTCCAATGCCTGATCGCTCTCTCTGTAAAGAATTTTCTCCTGATATCCAACTTAAATTTCCCCTGGTGGAGCTTAAGCCCGTGCCCCCTTGTCCTATTGCTGAGTGCCTGAGAGAAGAGACCAACCCCCACCTGGCTGGAACTTCCCTTCAGGGAAGTTTATCGGTGAATTACACCAATAAAACGTGGCCCCAAACCCCCTTTTGTGCAGCTCCCTCTGAACTCGGAGCCGAATAACCCACGGAGCTGGAGGGAGGGATTGCTGAAATCATTCCAAAGCCTCTTAGTTATGGGAAAAAAAAATAAAAAATGATGTCTGTCCTGCCTGTTTCTGGCTCCCTGCGAGGCGGCAGAGGGGCAGTTCCCAGCTGGAGGTGTTTCCAAATTTAGTTTGTTTGGACACCACCGCTGGAAGAGGCTCCCAGGCCCCGCCAGCCAAAGGAATTTGGCTGCTCAGCCCCCTCCCCTCCTCCGGGCATCCCCTTGGAGCAGCTCACATTCCTCAGGCTGGGAAACGCAGCCACAGGACTCAGACCCAGCCTAATTCTGGAGGGAGCAGCACCAGCTGCCCTTTGGGACACTGCTGCTGGTTTTTAGGACACCTCAGTCCTAATTCATTCCTGTCAGAGGAGGAAATGAGATTAAACCAGCATTTGATCCATATTTATTGGTCCCTGTCTGATACAAAAATGTGTTTGACAGAGAAATCAAGTGATGCCACGGTTAGATGGAGAATTATAAACAGGGTTTGAATTCAAGACATTAAATAAAGGCATTAAAGACATTAAAATACACGTGGTAAAGGAAAGCTGTTAAATTCATTTAGACCTGAAGTCTCCTACTGCAAGAAAACCATGGAGATTTCGGGGGATCTTAAAATGCCTTTTTAAAATCTTAAAAATCTTAAAATGCCTTTTTAAAATAATCTTAGTGCTTTCTTTTTAAAATGAAGCCTGAAAACTTATAATCCTTTAAAAAAAACACAACAAACAAACGAACCAAAAATTAGTTTGGGCTTTGCAGTGACCTCACACAAAATGCCAACTCCTTCTTTAAAAGTAGGTGTGAACCCACCCCTGCAGCAGCTCTGGCAGTAAAACTTCAACATATTAAAAATCTAAAATCCTCCAACATATCTGGGTCCCGGCAGGAACGGCTTTGTTAAGGTCAGGTGCAAAAATCAATATTTGCTCTGCAGCAGGAAAAACTGGAGTGACAAAAAAAAAAGTTGAGCCTTTTGCTCAAGCCCTTCTCCCCGAGCCTGGTTTTCCCCCGCGCCGACGGCTCCAGCTGGGTCATCCCAGCGGCTGCTCCTCGGGGAACTCCCCTCCTGAGTCTGACCCCGGTCGACAAAAAAAAAAATCGACTTGACTGAGCTTTGGGTCACCGTCTGAGGCCGATGAATAAATTATGGCTGTCGTGCAGGAAAGCTGACACGCTTCTAAAGAAGGGAAGGAGTCACTTCAGAACCACAAGAAATTCATAAAGCACTTTCTGACCTTGGGAAAAATGATGTATTTTCAGGAGGCAAAATTCAGGACAAAAGTGTCCTTTTTTCCCCTCCTGAAAACTACATGCTTTTCCGTGGATTCCTTGACTAATTAACAACCAATATATATATTTTTTTTACCCTGGTGAAAGCTGTTAACCCAGTTTCCATCAAAAAAATTCCGCCCCACAACCAACTGTTCCCCACAACAACTCACTCCAGGCTCTGCCATCCCAAACATACCCTGGGTGGGAAAACAGATTTCCCTCCTAGCAGTGTTCTACACCAACAAAGTTCAGAATATTTGCTTTTTTTGTGTGGCTCTCCTGAAAAAAACTGAGCTGCGAGGGGAAAACCAGCGTTCCACAGGGAGCTGAGGGGCAACAACTCAACGCTGCTTCCCAACACTTTGAGCAGCTGTAACCCCCAACCCAGTGCAGTGGTTTTAATACTTCAGCTGGGAGTAGCAGGGGCTGTAAACAACACCACAAACGAGTTGTTGTGACAGTTTTTACCCCCAGTTGTACCTGTTTTTCCCCCTCCCCTGTCCCAGGGCTGCTGTTGAAGAGGTGCACCTTGCTGCTGCCCACCAGGGACAGGCTGAAGTACGTACACAAGGTACTCTCAGAAGTAAGTCCTTCCACCTTCCCTCCACTGCTGTTTCTCACTGGCCCTTTGCACTTAAAACACCACCCCCTGCAAGACAAATTCCTTGCTGGATTTTGCAGTCCCTTTGCTGGAGTTCATCACCCCTGCATTGGTTTGAAATCGGCCTCTTCACACTAACAACAGCAAAAGCCAGTGAGTTTTACTCCCTGAAAACAAAGGTTTCTCCTCCCACAGGCCTTTTGCACACCCCTGTGACCACAGTTTTGACTTGTTGCTAAACCA